AACAACAAACAAAACACCCTCCCCCCAAAAAAAAACAACCCCAACAACAAACAAACCCCAAAGCAAAACAACAACAAAATTAAACAGTCAAAGAATTAACAATCTGTCGTCTACACATAGCTAGTGTATGAATTATTTCCATGGTCAAGTCAATTATAAAATTAATAAGAAAACACCACTCACACACCCCTAACAAAAACAAGAAAAACAACCACCTCCCTATTATAAATTCAAGTAAAAACCAACAAGTCTTCATTCTAAGGCAACACCCACACGAATCACAGAAACACACCCTATAGATTGATGGGGTTCCGGAATGGAGGCTATGGTTGGATCGATTCTTGGAGAGAAACAATACTTCTCGCAACCCCCGCCCCCTCTCCCAAATACACACACAAACACACACACACACACACACACACACACACACACACACACACACACACGTGCATACATACACAAAAGAAAAGAAATAAAATCAACAACAACAACCAACTCCCCCCCCCCTAAATTAATAAGGTAAATTATTGCATTAACAACCGGTCGTCTTCACGCGGTTAGAGCAAGTACTATCCCCGTAATCAAGTCGGACGAAATAAGAAAACAACACCCACATCACCTAATAAAAATCAGAAAAACAACCACCGCCCTTTAAATCTAAGTAAAAACCAACAAGTCTTCGTTCCAAGGCAACATCCACACGGGCCACACAAACACACGCTATAGATTGAGAGGGTTCCGGAACGGAGTCTATGGTTGAATTGATTCTCGGCGAGAGACAATAGCTCTAGCACAGCGGCAATCAAGGATTCCCACCTAGTGCTGATGCTTTACTAAAAGAAATTGCTAGTCTATGCGCTTACCTTGGGGTACACGAACCACACAAAAAAAAGAAAAATCGAAATCGAATACCGAAAACCTGGCCTGGTAGGTCGTGTGTGTGTGCACATGTATGTGTGTATGTACACGTGTGTGTGCGTGTGTGTGTGTGTGTGTGTGTGTGTGTGTGTGTGTGTGTGCGTGTATGGGTGTTTGTGTGTGTGTATTATGAGCATGGGGTTCAAACCCACTTCCTTTCTCTCCCAATCATTTTTTAATATTTATTATTGTCATCATTATTTGAAGACAGATGGACGCCATCTTTAAGAACTTCTTTCTTACCTGCCTCTTTTCCAGGAAGACGATTTTGATGACGACAACTCTGATGTCCACACCGAGAGTCTTGTGTTGGTAAACTGTGTTAGCCTGGGAGAGGGGGGGGAGAGGCTGTTACTGAGGTGTTGAATGGATTAATGAATGAATGGATGGATAAATGAATGAATGAATGAATGAATGAATGAATGAATGAATGAATGAATGAATGAATGAGAAGACAGAAAGAAAGAAAGAAAGATAGAAAGAAAGAAAAACAGAAAGAAAGAACATAGCATTTGTATAGCGCAGATTCCCACTGAACAGCAAGCTCTATGCGCTTTGCAATCCTTATCATTATTCCCCCAGAAGACACGAGTACACCCAGAATCACTCTCGTCTTGACGAGACGCACACAATGCAAGCAGCCGATTTAGTGATCAAACATTATTAAATTGACGAGATGTTTTGCTTTCTGTTGCTGGGTATCCATTCTCACGTTGGAAAAGTGAGGAAAATTCCTGTAAAGTGCCTTTATCATTGACACAACGTCGGGCCCCTGATGGGGTTCGAAACCACACACGACATTTTTTAAACAATCATTTACAATGTCTTACAATCAATTACAATCTCTTTACAATCTCTCTCAATTATTTACAATGTACTATGATCATTTACAAGCTGTCACGATCCTTTACAATCTCTTACAATTGTTTACAATCTACTATGATTATTAACAAGCTCTTACAATCATTTACACTATATTTCAGTCACTCACAATCTCTTTCATCATCAATGACAATCTACTACAATAATTTATAAAGTACTACAATAATTTACAATCTACTGCAAACAGTTACAATCTCTTACAGGCATTTATAATCTACTCAACCATTCCCAATCTACTACAATAAATTAAATCTCTTACAATCATTCACATTCTACTACAATCAATCAAAATGTACAATCCTCCACAGAGAATACGTACGATATTCATGAGACTCATGACGTAGAGCTCCGTCCTCTCCCTGCTGCCGATAGCGTTCACGAGTGAGTGGTCCACGACGACCATCACCTCCAGGTACTTGGGTGGCCTGGCTGCCCGCCGGCGTCGGTGCATGTGCTGGGCTGTGGAGTGATGTAGATATAT